AATTATGGTCATTTTGAAGGCAAAAACTTCCACAGAAAGAAATCCTGAGGATGGGCTTACCTACCCTGCCAACACACCACTGACAGCAGGTACTTTCCACCTGATGAGCTCAAAACGCATTGCAAATACAAATGAACTAAAGTTTCAAGACCAAGCTGTCAGCAGGTAACTGCCATTATACCCATTCTGATCAAAAATGTCAGACCACAACCAGGCAGGCAGTTGGCTGCAGACTAGGAAATGAAGCCCAGAGTTCTGCTTTTGAACTATGCTTCAAACATTTCATATTTTAGTGGTTTCTAACCCTTCATCTTCACTGCCTCTTTCCCTACATGGACATATACCCCTGGCAGGTGGTACTTGTCAAGCTCACACTTGGCACACTTGGATGTTCTTGACAAACCAGGCCAACAGCATGGTGCCATGGGGCCCCAGCGATGAGCACACCGGAGGACAGGTTGAGGGCCTGATCCATCATTCAGGCAGGCCAAACCTGGAGAGTTTGGGGGAAAATAAAAGCTGAACATGAGGGAGAGGAAACAGAACAGTCTGCTCGTTAGATTCTTCCCTCCACCTCCAGAAGTGACGACCACTTCAGATGTCCTATTGTGAAGTGCAGTGTGTGGGACAGTTCTTCATCATCACTCAGAAAATGAACTGTTTGAGATACCAGGCTGAACTTCTATATAATGAACTGATGCGTATCAAGTTAGTAGCGGTTCCTGAAAATCTCTGCTAAACCTGCCTTCCCTTAGAAAAAGCCTAGAACAGGTATCTGTAAAGAAAATGTGATTGAAAGCCACTATTTGTTTACATTAACAAAACAGCCTTAAAGACAGGATTTCTTTTAAACACAAAAGACAAGGAGGAGCAAACTAATTAAAAATAGGACAGCAACAGACTTGGGAACATCCTTATGAGAACTGAAATTAAATGTAGTCCTGGAACCTTGAACCATATAAGCAATGCATAAATTGGGAGTGCTGGGCTCTTCAGTCTTACTTCTATTAAAAAGAAAACTAATAGAAATTAACCTGTTAGTGCATGGTGGCAGCACGTCACCTATCTCATATGAAATCGCACCATGTTTAGGTTATGACGAGGAAAGGGAGTTGAGGGAGGTGGAGGAAGGTATGAGGCTGGAAAAAGGGGGAGGCAGGGAAAGTTAAAAAAAAAAAATCTCTGCCTCAGCAAAAGTTTTCATTAAAATTTTAGACAAATGATCTCTGTGTCCTTCTCCCATGCTGCCTGGGGCTCCATGCTATTTCTATGCAAATAACAACCTCGTGGTTTATATCTTATTATTTCCACCGGAGCTGCGGCGACATGACCCGAGACGTGTGTGAGGTAGACAGCGAAAGAGAGAGAGGGAGAGAAAGAGAGGGAGAGGGAGGGAGAGAGATGGAGTGGCTGCTCGCTGAAGTGTGAAAAAATATTGTCAGGAGTGAGCAGCAAGAACAAAAAAAAAATTGCAGGGATAACGTGTTTATTTCAGCCCCTCTCCCCATGTGAACCAGCATCTTTTAAAATTCATTGGGCATCAGGCGATCATGCACAATCCATCTGCTTTCACTTTATCATTTGCATTTCATGCCTCCTGGCTTTTGATGTGCTGATACTTTGATGCAGTCAGGAGACGCGCATTATCATTATTTCAATTTTCAGGGGGGTCAGCGGGCTCAGCACAGGCGCGCGCACACACTCACAGGAGAGGAATGAAATGTCATTTCCACCTCTCCACCCCCTGCTGAAATGCAATGGTGAAGACAAAAGGGGTACAGATGAAATGCAGCCCTGGCGCCCCACATGCAGAGCACTGTCCCCACCACAGAGCATCACACCTTTTCCCCAGGTCTTTCCCTTGCCTGTCGGTCCGGACTATAAACAAAGACAGCTTAATCAGGAGCAGAGGGAAACCTTGTACAGCTCTTGTGCAGTTTCTTGTCACCCCTGACAAGCAATGGGGCTGAGAGAATCCTTAAACCTGCCTGATATCAGGTGTCTTACAGTGATATGCCTCTCTACTTACAAAGCAGTGACACGGATGCAGTGAACAACCAGCATGTGATTAGTCAACCTCCAGAATCAAACATTAGCTTCAGCTAAAAATGATACTGACCTTGAGCTCATCATCTAAGTTATAGGTTACAGTCTGGTTTTGGCAGCTGGACCTTTCCCTCTACACCTAAACCCTCAGGCTGGTTTTACATAATGATAATGAACAAGACCAGCAACAGATCTGCTGGCACGTAATGTTTGTCACAGTCCCCCTCTGCTCCCCCTGTAAATTAAAAAGAATCCAGTATTTCATGGGGGGAATTAAAAAAAAAAAAACCACCAAACAACTTTCCAGAAAAAAACTCACTGCTCTCTGAAAGCCTAATTGTCTCCATTGCTGCAGAAACATTTTTTGCACTGCACATTCTCTTCTTGCAGAGAGAAGACATTTTGAAGACGACGGGTATGCAGACACAAGACTACGTGTAAGCTTTGTACAGCATCCTCTATGAAGACAGTAATTAAAAGTCAGCAATGGAAAAAATTGTCCCGAATCTCTCACACCTCATTGGGAAAAGATAAAGGAATATTTACAAGCAACTGTGTTAGAAAACGTTCACTTCCAATTGTCATGCAAGGTAGCAGTTTCCATTTATTTATCTTTGTTTCAGTCATGATCTTTCCTCAAGACTCTGCCAGTTGGATGGGTGACCTTCTAATTCCCACAAAGTAAAGCACTGACTTTGCTGCACAGGGCTCTTCTCCCCATCTAATCCAAGGGAACAAGAAGCAAGACTCTTCTGGAATCTTATTGACACAAATGAACAAGAACACATCATATATCATGTCCAAATAGCCTCTGCATTCCTACAAGGGAAGACTTTGCTTAATTGGCCCCTGGCCGACAGAGACCTGACTTCTAGCCAGAAGAAAATTCAAACTGTCCATCTAAATTCAAGGGACAAGTGTTTAACAGTTTCCATATAAGAACAGGGAGACAGAGGATAAGTCTGAAACAGATACTGCCTCCATGGCAGGATGATGCAAATGCATTAGCATTCACCATTTGCTTTACACCCTTCTTAAGGTCTCAGCTGGACTGAGCTTGGTCATTTCACATTAGTACTGGACATCATTTCACTACTTCAGACATACTTCTGGGACACGATTATAGCTGGATCCATTCAAGAACCTCTGACCAGAACTGCAGGGACTGGAAAATGAAGATCATATGAACTAGCAAGACACTTCACACAACATCCAGGAGTGAGTCAGAATTCCCAGTCTCCCAATATTCAAGGACAGGTAAACTTCTTGTTGGGTCTGGGCTTAGCTGTCCTACTGGGAAAGCTGGATAGGATGCAATAGGTTCCTCCTTTGCCTGACCTTTAGGCAGGCAGAGGTTCAGTGCCTACATAAAAATATATGCCTTTCCAACAGAGCAGGCAGGGAGGAGAGAAAAGGACACATGGGATTATTCAGCCCACTGAAATTCTTGGGATGGGATAAGTCACCTCCCAGAAAGCATCTCCTTCCGCCTACACCTGCTGACAGATGTCAGGCGCTTAATTTAGACTAAATCCTTAGTTTTTAACTGCTTAAAATTTAGCAAGATTAATCTAGTCCTATAAAAACAAACATTCACTCCACGGGTAGAGAGTGCAGTTAAACCTGGAAAGAAGAGAGCAGAAGAGAAGGACTAAACAGACCGGCCCTGCCATCTGGGAAACTCTGCAGGGCCCCGATCCCCACCAAATGACAGCTGGAACCAGGCAACTTACTCCACTTCAGCAAGCACTAAACTGACTCAATTTCTTTTTAAAGGATGGGTCTTCAAATGCCTCTTTTCCTTCCATTGATGCAGGTGTGTGTGATGTGTGTAAGAGATCTAACTGAAGGTGCTGCATCCTAGGGTTGATAGGATCAATGCTTCATTTTCTGCAGAGCCCCCTTTATTCAGGGGAATAATTCAACAACAGACTATTTTCCTTTTATCTCCCATTGTCAGGCAGGCACTCCTTGAAACGCAGCTTGCGATGAAGCACAACCACCCCAGGTGCTGGAGAGTGCCTGAGAACAAAGCTGCACAATGGGGAAGGGCACTTGCGCCCACACAATCCTAACTCCCACGTAAACAAAGCCCTTAGTAAGAGGGACAAGAGAGGAGTCGGCTGTGAGCCGTGTCTGCTACAGACAAGGAGCCAGAGGCTGTGATATTAATAGGCTTGGGGCAGCAAGGGAGAAAAACCGCCTCTGGTGGGGAAAAAAAGAGAAGAGCCACTTTAGTAGTGAAAGCAGTAAGTTTTCTTACAGCCCGAGTTATTCCTCCCTTCCCCCAAAGCTGAGATTTCCAGCAGGTCTGACCCCTTGAAAATCACCATCCACGCACTCTTTCTCAGGCTTCAGTGCTCCCCCAGTATTAATGCAATGCTGTGGATGGCTGAAAGTTCAGGGTGATTCTGGCCCACGTGTTTTGAAACACAGTCTTCCAGACACTGGCGACAGCCCTGTTTTCCTCTATCACAGTACACAGTGGGTGGGAGAAGATGCTGCCCAGTCGGTGGGCTTCTCCACTTCTGTCATTTAGTCACTGCACACAACCTATGTTAAAAGCTGCTTCTCCTTCTTCCCCTTCACCTGGTTCATGCTCAAGCCCTTAAATCTGCAGTTCTGCCTAGGTCCCCTGCCAATCTCCGACCAGGATGCCTGGAATAGTGCCTCTGGCTGTCAATACGATGTTCTAGTCAAGAAAAACAGGTGCATGAAAGGACTGCTTTCTGACCAGAGAGAAAAGAAAAAGACTGCAAAGGCATGAAAGTTTCACAGCTGCTGCCCTGTGTCTGTTCTCCTCCTTGACTGGGAGGAGCCCGAGACAGGAGAAAGCAAAAGCGACCAAGCACAATGACAGGTATAGCGGTGGCAGCAGCTTGAGCCTCCGGCAGAACTCACAGAAACACCAACTCAATTCACATAGCTCTAAAGACTGAAATGCAAAGACTTACTTTGTTGAGGGCTCCGCAGCCAGTCAGGATTATATGAGAGTTCTCAACCTGGATAGTCCTCTGACCTAACCGAACAAGGTAAGCCCCAATTCCAATTGCCCGACATGTAACCTTAAAAAAAGAAAAAAAAAGAAATCACATTGATTTCTGTCTTACCACACAGCCAAAACCTGATTCAAACATCTAGATAAAACTAGGCATGTTTGTATTACAAGGCTATAAAATCTACTCTCACTGCAAAACTCCAGAATATATTTTTTTGTAAAACACAGTATCTGAACATATGTGTATTTTATTTAAAAAAAGAGAAGCAGTAACTTACAGACTGAGCAAACATGAAGCCAAATAGCTGTTTTCTGAAAGTGTTTTAAATTTAGTCTGAAAGGGACCCAGCCCTGTAATGGTGCCAGTAGCGTTGCTCAAAGCCTACAAGAGCCAATTTACATCAACCAGAAGTCTGATCCCAGGTGTACCTTCTGGGTATCACTGCAGGATTTTTAGCTGAAACAGACAATACAGTTTGAAGAATAGAAAGCAGTGGGGGATTACCAAGTTGATGGTGATAATACTCTCATAGGCTAAAGATGACTCTCCAGCAATCATGCCAGATCCTCTGAGGTTCTCTACTCCAAGTCCGTCTTCCTTTCCGATAATATCTGTTATCTTATACCTGAGGGAGACACATACAGCCTTTGAGTCACAAGGTCCAGTGATTTGCTGAATCAGTTTGCTACGAAGAAAATGAAAAGTGACTAAATATCATTAAGGCTCCAAAGCGTAATGTGCATAAAACCCAGCCAGGACCTGTACATGGGGTCATTCTGCAGCCTTGCTGAACACCATGGAATAGTCCTACATATGAGCAGCCAAAGCAGCACTGCAAAGAGGAAATGCCAAGGGAGAGGAATGCCCATGAAAAGTGTTCTTCTGTCATTCCCACAAGACGTGAGGAGCCGGCTGATTATAGGAAAAAGGGCAAGAAAGGAAGAGAATGCAGTCAAAAGGAGAAAGAAATAGAACAAGAGATTATAATGAGGCACTTACCTTTTCTTTAGTTTCTTCTTTCATGCCTTCCTTCCCCAGCACGGTCCCTTCTTACTCAGCGCTCTCAAACTGGCTTCTATCTTTTCCACTAGGCCCTTGCTAAGCAAAGTACTTGAGCGTGTGCTTAAGTGCTTCACTGAAGAGAGCTACTAGCTTCCCCACCACACACGCAGGCACACACACATCCCCACACCCAGCACCATCCTTTTGTTCTTTCAGAGCTTGCCAGTCCACAAACTAGGCTCTTCTTTTCTTCCCAAGCACATCCTCCTCCCTCTGCCCAGGAGCACCATTAGAGCTGCAGTCTAGCTCTGAAAGCTTCTTTGCACCTCATTTTCAGATATGCTGCCTTTAGGATGTAGTGGGAAGATGCAGACACCTAGAGTAGACCGTGTATGGAAAATCATAGGCTATAAGGCAGTTTAGTGCAATCACTGCAGCCCAACCCTTCCAAATGCAAGGAGGGCTTAGTCTTCACTCAAGAATTCTTTTACCCTTTCTACGGAATCTAGCAGAAAAGTAATTTTCAAAATTTAGCCTGCAAGTGTTTGGGCAAGAACCACTGTCCTGGTCATGCAGTGCTTACCACTGCAGGACCCTCAGTCATGACTTGGGCCCCTAGGCAGTAGGAGTCAACACAGCACTACTTCAGACAAGGCATGCCATGACACAACTTTTAACTTTCTTGTTCCATGCTCTGACCGCACACAGCTATGGCTTTCTACATAGCTGGATCCTAAAGAATGCCCTAGCTGAAGACAAGGACATGACAGGCATCACCTCGTATACCCAAGGATGAACAGAAAGCTTTTCATTCTGACCTGTCTGTGCTTACCTGGACTCTCCATTGTCCTCCACATGTTCACAGTGAACTGAGTTCAGGGCACTGACTTTCTTATAGTCTTGAGGAGTCAGGTACAAGTATTTGTATCCCTGCAGGGAAAAACAGTTCATTCATCTTATTCCCACCTGTACTCCCTTCCCGATCCCTAATAAACCTTTCCAAACAGAAAGTTTCAAGACAGCAGAATTTAATTCCAGATAGTGATAAGAACATCCTCCCATAATGTCAGAGCTCCAGCTGACATAGTGGAAGCAGGGCATGTTTTCAACATTTAGCACTAGCTCATTCTGGATGCCAATTCTGCTGCCTGAGAGATCCAACACCAAGGAGAACTTTGGACTGAACAGTCTGTCAAATGTTTACCCTCACCTCTATTACAAGAGGCGGTGTAAAAATAAGATTATTTTGTGAGCTATTGCAGAGCTTCACCTCCGATTCCTGTGCCTCCTTTACCTTGTATGGGTCATCTGGGTCTTCCCAAGCTACATGGAACATGTGCCGAATCTCCTCAGCCAAACCAATCCTGGCTCCACTGTTGGCAGCCACGTAGATACGGGGGATGCCATGTGTTCGAGCAAGCTCTGAAGCCCTCAGGAACAGCATGTCCTCTTGAGGCCCAAAAGAACCTATTCGGTATGTAATGTCATTGCCAATGACAATGATATCACGGCCTTCTGGATACTCAGGGGTCTTCAGAGTCATCTTCCAGGCCACCATCCCAATCTGCAATTGAAGAGCAGAGAACAAAAACTAAATGCGTATCATCTTCAAGATGTGAAAGACAGGAATCACGCAGGCGCCATTTTTCTTATGTGTGTTGCACTTCATACATTTTCTTTGGGAACTCGGATAACAGCAGAGCACAGCTGGCAGGACTTGATCCTTTCCACACTCACTGGAGCACATCCTCCATTGCTCTCTTCCCACCCAAGACATTAATACTGGCCCTCCCTCTCCCTATTCAGGGATTTGTCACAGGTCCAAAACACATTCTGCAAACGCTGCTCTCGCAGGGTGCTGCATTTATTCCATGTGCCAGAGCTCACAGGGTGAGGATGGATGTGCTGCTGTACAGGGCTCCTGACCATCTGCTTAAGCTACCCAGATATCACCCCAGAACCTCATCACCCTGGTTCTCTCTCTCCCTGCTCTCATTTTAATAATCCTTTTATTTCATAACTACCTCCATTTTTTTTCTGTCCTTCCTTTCATTTCTTTGGCTCTTCCCTTTTTCCCTCCCAAATACTGCAGCAGTTTCTTTCCAAACCTGCCTGGATAAGTAATGCTTTTTGCTGCATATTTTTCTTTTTAAAATCACCGGCTGATCTCTTCTGGCCCATCTTATGGAGATCAGCAACATCTGTACCCTGCATCTCCCATCTCCCAGCTGCTGCGTATCACTGCACTAGGGAGTTGGCCATCCTGGAATGCCATTAACAGACGGAAATAGCAGCGCCCCTTGAAAGCCACATGCATCACCCAGTCTCCGCTTGCCCAAGGATCATAAGCTCTGAGTACACATTCCTCAAGCCAATTGCACATCCTCTGCAATCAGGAGGGTTGAAACTCTCATTGTGGAGACTGTGAATTCTGAACATGATGAACTAAAGCGGAAGGGGGAGAGGGGAGAAGCAGCAGATAGATATGTGCCATTTAATCCAAATCAAAATGGCACAATACACAGTTGAGATCCAATCAGCATCTGCAATAAGATATGCCATAATAGGCTCATTAAAAAAAATAAAAAGGCAGAGGAATTAATCAAAGGGTCACTGGAAGTAAAGCAGGCAGCAATCCAAAAATATTACAACTGGCTACTGGCAGATCCTTTCCTTACACCTCCCCTTCAGAGAGCTGAGATTGCAAGTTAACAGAATAATGGTGTTTCAGTTCACCTTCTCCTTGGTCTCAGTTTCATCCACTGCTATTTTGACTGATACATCGTAAGGGATTAATCTGTTTGCCTCTGAATATTTGCAGACTTACAGTTACATCTTAGCATCCAACTGCGGTGTTTGGAAGAGAGAGATACTACAGCAGTTTCAAAGACAGGAGCGTAAATCCCTAAAAGTCAGTGGGACGCTTTGTTAAAATACTAGTATTCTTGCCAAATTAAAGGGAAAAGTTGTAATGCTGTAAAATAAGTAGGTGCAGCTGTTGGTCAGGCACACAGAGCAGAAGTGTGTGCAAAGAGACCGCGGTCACACAGATAACCAGTCCAGAGTCTGGTAAAGCAACCTAATTCATCCCAGACAAACCTACACAGCCAGAGGGGTTACTTGGACTTCTGCTCTTCTAGTGCTGGACTTTCATAGCAGAAAAAGGAAGAATAAAGGTGAAAAAAGAAGAAAAAAGTAAGCTTTGTCCTTCAGACCTGACTGTTGCAGGAAAAGAGATGCCAGGGGCTGGATAGTGTGTCTCTATTCTAACTCTCAACTGTGGGCAAGCTTGCAATTAGAAACAGCAGGTTAAAAAAGCCCGCAAATCCAAAGTTAAAGGCTTCAAGATTAGCCTCTAAGAAATAAGGGATGCACGTCTATAGCCCATCACCTACTGCAGCTCAGTTCTTTACCGTATTTTACAGGCTTTTTTTTTTTTTGCTGCCTTAAGATGGCACTTACCCAATCTTTCTGATACTATCTCAGAAACCAGCTTTAGTTATTGATAGAAACCCACAGGGAAGGTGGGGCAATATTCTCTTTAAAACTGCACCATAAACTTCTTCCAAAACAGCACAGAAGTAACACTAATTTCCACATTTTTGCCTAAGGAGTCGTTTCCTTACAGCTACACTGATCCCATCAGCCAGGACCACACCAGGAAGCTTCAAGCACCATCAGATGAACACAAGCCACACAAGCTACAGGAGAAATGCCCAGGCTTTGTATTTGCTAAATACTTGTCACCGCAGTAAACTGCAAGATAGAACACATAAAGACATTGCCAAACACCTACACAATAACCACAACATACTGAAAGTAAAATCCTAGCACTCTCAGCTCACATGTGAGGCAGATGAATTAATCCTTGCTCCAGGGCTTAGGGACTCGTGACCGAGCTCGGTTAGTATCCAGGACTGGTCCCACAGTCTGTCTCACTTATCAAGATGTTAAGAGATTTTCCTCACTTTCATCAGCCTGATGATTTTTGACAGTACAAAAACAGGAAAATTAAAAGCATTTCCTATTAAGAAAATTCAGATTGTAACTGAAGTCTTGGAATAGTTCCCTAACCCAAGATTATGCATCCTCTAAATAAACAAACCCCCTTTTGTTAATGCTCACTAGTAGAATACGAAAAACTATCTAGTCAGGGCACAGTAAACACAAACTCTTGAAAATAGTTTAAAGCTGATAAATGTGGAGCAACCATACGCAGTTTAAGAAAAGAAAAATTAAAGTGCACCACTTTATTAACTTGTGTGTCTTTTTGCCTCCCCAATACATAGCGTGTTTTGTGCCATTTATCCAGTAATAAAAATCACAGGGCACAACTAAGGATTTTTTTGCTATGAACAATGTAGATTCTGTTTAAATTTATGGGCAGTGGAGGATAGCTTTCTATTTCAGAAAAGAAAAAGATGAGATTTTTAAGTTAACGGCAGCATGCCAAAAAAATTGAGAGTTCACAGGTTAATTAGACAGGCTGAGCTAATCACCTAAGAGCACTGTCAGAACAATAATGGGTAATGGTAAGCGGCAGTGGCTTCAAAACGGGCTCTTTTTAAGAGCCAGCGCAGTTCGGAAGTGCTTCTCCTGCCACAGCTCTATTCCCAGCACACCCAGGAATGAAGACGAGAGGGAGGAAAAAATAAAAGCAGGAACCGTCTTATTTAACTGTTTTTATGTTGGCAAAATGATTTGTGCCACAGTATTTCCATAAGAAGTGGGACCATTATTCTCCTGTAGGAACACATTTGGTTTGAAAAGTATCACTGGACAGAACGTGAAAATCAAACCAGATGAATTATTCACAACCTCCGATCAGAAGTGATCATTATTTCTGATGTTCCAAACTGTGATTAGGATTCAGTGCTCAGATGTCATTTGCTCCCTGAATAGCACCAGCAATGCAGAATTGCATGACACACATATATTACACACAAGTTTTATATATATAATTTTATACACACCTTCTCCCACTAGATCTTTGGCTTAATGTAACCATTAACAGATAGTAAAAACACAATATTAACTAACGTTCGTTTTCATGGTGCTCATAAATGCCATTAGTTTGACACACAGTGTCAACACTAATCATGGCCTAAAATTAACACCAAAATTGACTTCAACATTAATTGTGCTATCGATGTGAACAGTAATACACACACTGATGCAGTTACAAATTGACTGCTAGTGGCAGCCGGAGCTGTTGACAACAGGCACCGAGGGGAATGGGGAAGAAACCGATCCCAGTCTCCCTCCTGAAAGCACAACAGACTCCGAATGTTGGGAAGCCAATGCAAATGGAGGCTGGTGTTCAGGCAGAGGGGGCTTTTAAGTCTCTTTCTAGCAGTTTCTGTAATTCCTGGAGAAGTGTAGCTGACAGAAAATCTGATGTAAACGAGAACAGCTTACTATTTGACAGCATCTACGCTTGAGCCATGCCAATTGGGTTGGTTTATTCTACCTCTTTCACAACAAGGATGATGCTTGAACCCAGGCACTTTATGCCTTGCTTCATTTTATTTATTTATGTCCAAATCTCGAATCCTGGACACGGGTCTCAAAATCTCTAAGTAGGACAACTGAACTTACAGATCCCCAACAACAATTTTGTCCTGTTCCCATTCTGTTGCATCTGTATCGTATGTAAGTTTTATATGTAAAAAATATATATAAAACATGAATACATTTCTATGTCAGTATTTACTACATGCAAAAGTTATAATAAGAAAGGAAATGCAACAGTTGTAGTGGTCTAGCATGTGAGCGCTGGAAATGCTGAAGCTGAACGTTAATGAAAGCACATTTCTCCCCTGCTGTGCACACATGTTCTGACATTGTTAAATCAAGGAACACGCGCTTTATTCCCCCTTCACAACCTCTGTCTATTCTGGAGGTAAACCAATGTCCACTGACCCCAGGATGCTGAATCGCTCTACTGCATAGCCATGGACAAGGTGTGTTTTAGAAAGGGAACGAAGACATCCCCAGAAATTTTACTTGATGCAGACATAGCAATTTCGGTATTTCATCATTCGACTCTGATGCCCAGAGAGACTCTGCAGTTATACTGTGACCAAAAGCTGTAAAATTTTTATCTTCAGCGTGAACCAACTCCCAGAAAAAGGGCACGATGCACGTGGTTTGCCAGAGGCATTCAGACTTAATGCCTTGACAAGGGTGGAGTGCCAAAACCCAGGATTCCTTCACTCTCTTCTTGGCTCTGAAAAAGGTGTCATTTAGCAATCAAAGCAGTGGTCGCAGGCGGCACAGCCAAGCGCACGCTGGCATGGTTCTTCTGAACAGCACGCGGCCAAATGGATGAGAGATGGGAAGAAATGGTTCCAGGATGAGACGTGACAAAGGCTTGCTCAGTAAAGGGTGTCATGCAGCACAGTGGACTGAAGGAGACGTGAATTCGTACTGTCTTGTGCCTTGTGCTAGACCAAAGGGCACTCGGATGGCAAGCCAGGAAATGAATCAGCAAAAGGCTGGCTGATGTTCAGGGAAAGCGGATGGACACACAGAGCACCAAAGGAAAGCTCAAAAAACCCATTA